GGTTCCTGATGGTTCCTGAAGGTTCCTGATGGTTCCTGATCACATGGTGCACGACTGAGTTTGTCAAAAAGGAAAGTTTGAAGTCTTAAGTTTCCTGAATCGAGTCGGTTCGACAGCTGAAGGCTCTGCTTCCTGTACACATTACAATGCACCGGCTCCAACTTTAGCATCATCTTACAAAATGCAGGGTTGTCCACAGACATCAATAGAAGTGCTCACGGCATCATCAGACATCATGAGACCAAAACGTTATTAAAGGCTCCGTTGTAGTTTGTTTTTTCAAATGCACGATAAAACATTTTGCTCGTCCCCTCACACCTTTCTCCTTTTAGCAACAAAAACATGGAAACGAGTTGAACAGGCCTGACCTTGTGAACCTGAACCGCAGACTAATTGAGAGCCTGATGATGCTGTGAACTGTGAATCTGTGAAAGTTGGCGAGGATTTTAGTCGACATGTCAAATCTGAGGTTGCTGTGGTTGATTTGACTTGAAGGTGAGATGGCTGTGATTTCTTCACAAGCTCTTTGGTTTTGTGAAATCTGGCGAGATCAGAGGTGATTCTAGGATCAGAGCTTTGGGGGTGCTGAGCACCCAGAGAGCTGCCCATCCAGGCAAGATAAACTTTACTCGTCACGATGAGACTTCTTCCCGTCTCTGTCAGTCCCTGCATCCTCAAATCTCTCCAGTTGTCCTGAGTTCCCTCTGACTGTCTCCTTGGTGCATTTAAACCTGTTCCTCCCTGTCCTCATCGTCTGTTGTCTTCATCCCCGTTATCAGTCATAATAATTTTAGCATCTCTGTGCAAGTCTGCAAATTTCTTTATTAAATCATAAGTTTCTTAAATTCATCAAGTCTCTCTGTGCCTGGGTCCTCGTCACAAAACATGACATCACTGTTTTGTACATTTGTGAAAGAAAAGAAAAGCACTTTTTTGAAAAGTCTGTAACAAAACCATCAAATCAGATAAAGGTTATTTAAATGCTGCAAAAGAAGAATGGATTGGAATAAAAAAATATGCTAACCTTAATTACTGGGGAAAAATGATAAATGATGCTCATAGTGAGTAAAAAGTAAACTGAGTGCATTTTTTGGACAGAGATTCACTTTTAATGTGTTTGTGTAATAGGATGATCTGATATCCTCGTGTTGGTGTTGTTCCCAGATCATCATGAAAATGTTGTTCCAGGTTCAACATTGCAAGTGACCAATCACATTATTGTGACGTTATTCTTTTGCGCACCAACCCATTCGTGCATTTATGAAATTCCAATGTTGCAAGGACAATATCAATTCTGCTTAGCGTTTATTAAAGGGTTAGGGTCCGTTGATCGGCGGACAATGGCGGTTTCTTGCAGCTTAAGTACAGTTTTTTGTTTTACGCCGCTTTTTCACGAAGTCGCAAAAGTATGACATCACAACATTCTGATTGGTCACTTGCAATGTTGATCCTGGAACAACCTTTAGTATGATGATCTGGGAACAACACCAACACGAGATATCAGATCGTGCATGTATAATATAATACAGACACATAAAAAATACACTCCAAAAATAGAAGAGTCCTTGAAATATACAAAATATTATTGTATTTGTGAATGCATATTTTGTATTTTGCTGCTGGGTCCTCCTCTGGTCTTACCTGCATTTAGGGAGAGATCATTTTCCTGACACTTCTCTTGTGTTTTCTATCACCTCCCCGTCAGTGATCAGCACAATGACTGTAGTGTCATCTGCTATAATGGGAAGTGTGGTCTGGGAAATCACCCAGTCATATGTGAAGAGGGCGTATAGCATCGGACTCAGCACTTGTGCCTGGGGGAATCCACATGCTCACAGTTGCTCACTTATGCTTAACTGGTTTCAGACTCTGATATGGGTGTATGTGATGGATCCACTTATCCACTTCAGGGTCGTTTGGGACACGCCCTGGACAGTCTGTCACAGAGCTCACAAAGAGACCTATTCATTCATGCTCGCAGTGATCCACACATGGCAAAATTTAGACTCTCCAGCGAACCTAACATGTATATCTTTGGGCTGTGGGGGCAGCCGAGGTGCCCAGAGAGACCCCACACAGACCAGACCGGCCCCGGGCAAATTACATGTATGAAATGGCTGTTAGGTTTCTGCAAACAACCATATTTGAGAATATTACCAAGTTTGTGTTTACAACATTGAATTGCTGCATTGCTGCTGAAATAACAGTCGTTGATATTTGATGTGTTCAGAGCGTGAAAGCTTTTCTTATCCTGCCTGATATCCACAAACTGTAAATAATCGATATCATCCAGATCTGTCTTTAGGTGTGAGGATTTTAACAACTATAACAAGGATCGCACACAGCGTTTTAATTACACACTTTATAGTGTAAATAAGAAGTCTGATAAAAAGTGTAAAAACTGCAGACAAGTAGAGAAAGTTTCGTTTGCTGCTGTTGCTCAACAGGGTCTAAATGTAGCTGTGAGGGCGCAGTTTAGCCTAAATTCCTTTCAGAGGACTTGTAAGTAGCTTGTAGTAAATTAGACTTGGCTGGAGTCGGTTTCCTCTAATATAAGCAGGATTTCTGCCGTTAACATAGTAGTGAGAACACAGATGTTGTTTTTATTAGAGCAAACAATCCCTGAAGTCTGAAGTCGGCTGCAGAACGTTTTCAGATTACGACGCAGTAATCTGCACCCTCCCCAAGTACCACTGTCCCTCCCTCCTAACTCCGCCGTTGGCCAGTGCTCCCATTACATCATCGTTCACTCGACTCTTGCGCCCATGCTACGACGTACGGCAAAACCAGTGATGCAGTACCTGCGGCTGC